AGTTTTGCTAACGCAAATTTAGAGGAACTATGGATTCTAATAATTTTACACAAATGTGTTTTGATTTTAAACCCATTTCCGAGCCCATGAGTTTTCTATTTCCCAACTTTTCTGGAGCTGGCGCACACGAGCAAGTTTCTGATTCACTGCTGCGTGTCGTAAGAGGGGGACCACAGAGCTTCCATGCAGCTCCAGGTCTCTCCAGAGCAAAAGGAAACACGCCAAAGAAGAGGACAGGTTATGGTAAGAAAGAGACAAGAGGGGCTGGAGCACACTGCCCGCCCGCCCGCATGTGCTCTGTCTCTGTCTCCCTCCAAGATAGGTGCTATTGTTATGCTCTTTTATATATCTGAATATGCACACACACACACACACACACACGTATATACAGCATAATAATAATAGCATCTACCTTGTAGAGTTGTTGAGAAGTTGAGACAATGTATGTAAAACACTTTCCAAACCTTAAAATGCTACACAAATGTGAGCTATCATTATTTATTGTCAGTATCATGAGCTAAAACATTTCCTAAGATCGTTCCTGGCTCTGGAAGGAGGAAGGGCCCAAGGACAGAAGTCCAGCCAGCTCTCTCCCATCCGGGCCATCCTTGGAGTGTGCACATGAATCACTGCGTCCATACATTAGCCAACAGCTGATGAACCAAAACTTCTCTCCCGTACAATGTGACAAATTTCTGCAACTTGTCTGGCTAAGATAGACCCATTGATTAACATGGTGCTGTGGAAGGAGTGTGAGACCGGAAGAGTACTTGAATTCAAATCCTGGCGCTGGCACTTAGACCCCATATGACTTGTGTGACCAGGTGGGAAAAGGAGGTGGAGAAGAGACAACAAGAAGATACGGAAAGAACTCTGGCTCTGGAGTTAGAGGACCTGGGTTCAAATCCCTTCCCCCCCCCAATGCTTACTCCTTATGTGACCTTGGGCAAGTCATAACTTCTTCCTCTGGGGAAGGGGTTGGATTAGATGGTTTCTGAGGTCATTTCCAATTCTATGTCTATCATCCTCTGACTTGGGCTGAAAAAGAAGGAAACTGCATAGGAACTGGAGAGCGATATGGACTAGTAAAGATGACCAGAGAGTTAACTGAGAAAGGACAAATTTGGGAGAAAGTGAGGAATATTTGAAGAATACTCTCCAGGTCCAAATACTGTTTCAAATTCAATTCCTTAGCTTCTTTGAGAAAAAGTTGCAGGAGACGGAACAGGATGAGGGCATATTAAAGATGAAGGAGAATGGCCCTAAAAAGGGAGATTCGAAAAGGAAGAGGAGAAGGCAGTTGGCAAGACAACTCCAGGTAAGTAAGAAAAGGCTGATGGAACAGCTGGAGGGTAAAAGCAGGCAGACAGTGGACTGGGGACTGGAGCTAACTAGTGAATCAGAGAGGAGGCTGGTGTGAGGAGAGCAATAAGAGAGGGGAAACTGTAGGGTTGTTAAGACGAAAGAAAACAAGGGTTCTTAATCTGGGGGTCACAAAGTTGGGTTTTTTAAAATATTTTTTATAACTCGTATCTGATTAGAATTGGCTTCTTTTGTAATCCTATATATTTTATTTTATACTTTTAAAAACATCATTCTGAGAAGGGTCCATAGGCTTCATTAGGCTGATGAAAGGGTCCAAAGTTAAGAACCTCTTCAAGAAAATTGGGTTGGGTCCTCAAGTCACTAGAAGGTAATAATTGGCTGCTTAAAAAGAGTTTTAACATACATAAGGTTGAAGTGTAAACACCCAAAAGTCATTCCAAAAAAAGAAAGCTGAAAATCTCAACCAGTAGAAAAGCAGGGGAGATTTTGCGGTGCCTTGCGCCATGACCAGAGCTTCTCTTTCTGCCACAGCCCAGGAATGATCTGGGCAGGCTGCTCTCCCCTCCTAGAGGGAGGCACTGGTCCACATTCCAGGTTGCGGGTTCCTGGAGCAAACGGAAGACCTGACATTTGTCTAGCCAGAGGGTGGTTTGTGGAAGAGGGTGACACAGAGGAGAAAGAGAAGAAAAAGGCCATCCACACACTAAAAGCTTAAAACAACCCCCCCCCAGATTTAAGTCACTTCCTGAAAAAGAATGAGATGAATGCTCTGAGGAGAAAGCAGCTGCTGGTCATCCCAAGAAGGTTGCAGTGCAGCTGAGGAGCCATCCGGTGAGAGGTCACCTAGTAAGCAGTGATGGCTGGGGTGCCTCAGCTCAGGACCACTGAGGCAGCTCTCGGGAAACCAGACAACAAGAGAGAGGGGGGTTTTCTTCCTGGGGCACACATGCAAGATATAGCTAAGACTTCTCAAAGCAGACAACTACTTCCCATTTCTGGTGTTTTATAAGGGCACAAATAATAGTGCCAGAGGAACCTGTAAATCATTGCCAAAGATTACCAGGCCTTGGGCAAAGACACTAAAAACCACACAGGTACAAGCTGTTTTTCTCACTGTAACTCACTGAAGAGAAAAGAGAAACATTGACCTGGGAAGTGGACGGATGGCGCCTGAAGGTACTGTCTGATAACAGAATTTGGATTTCTGGACCCTCGAGTAAAACAGAAGGACGACAGATTCCTGGTCAGTGATGGAGCGCATCTGACAAAGGCTGGTAAGAACGCCGGAGGCCTGGCAAATCTAATGAAAGGGCTTTAAACTAAAAAGGATAGGAGCCAGGGAAGACGGCCTATGGATAAACCAGATGGCCTAGATGCAATGACGGAACCACAAGAGTGGCAGAGAGACTCGGAACTTCATAGGAGAGAAAACCCAAATCAGATGGCTGGCCTCAAATGCATACATACAAATGCCCAAATCAGGCAAAACACAAGAGGAACCAGAGATCTCAACAGGAGGCCAATTTGACCTCAGGCATCCACCACGTACATAAGAGGAGGTAGGCCAACAGAGCAGGATGTGCTTTAGTCTGGATTTTCTAAGTATTCCAATGTTCACTAAAAGAGTGCGTGGCATATAGGATAACTCTTATGATTATTTCATGACTAATCATGGAAAAACTGAAGTGGGGGAGAACGTATGGATGAAAGCTTAAGCAAAGCAGCGTAAAGAGCAGAACAAAAACCAGATACGCCACATGTGGGAGGGAAGAGAAGGGGGGTGGGAAGGAGGGGGAGAAGCCAACGAATCACCAGTCCTGAAGAAACGAGATTATAAGGGGAGTGAACAATTTAATTTGATAATCTAAGAAAAGATGAAAAAAATCCTCCACAGCCTTACTAAAATTTAAAGCGAGAATGGCTGACCTATACACTAGTCACGCAGCCCTTTTCAAATGAAATGAGCATTTTTAAAACTTGGAGAGGGATTTCATAAGCACATGTACGTGAACCTCAGAGGCCTAAGAGCCACTGAGCAGGAGTTAACTTAAGGCTTGCTGATTCAGAATGTTGGTTTCTCTTCATGAATGCAAATCCTGGTTTTTCTGGTTATAGAATAAAGATGATGGTGATGATGATGACGATGACAATGATAGCTACCATTCAGATGGAACTTTAAGGTTGGCAAAGCACTTTACATATGCTATCTCACTGGATCTTCACAACAACCCTGTGGTTCTCAGGTGCTATTATTATCTCCATTTTACAGAGAAGAAAACTGAGGCCCAGAGAAGTTAAGGGTTACCCAAGGGCCATTTTCTGCTACAAAGTATCTGAGGCAGAATTCAAACCTAGTCTTCTTGATGCAAAGTGTAGTGCCCTATCCATTATACCCTGGGTTGTTTAGGAGGAAAATACTTCGTAAACCCTAATTATAATAACTACGAGATGAAATGTGAGACTAATCTCTGACATCAGACCTTCAGCTAATTTAGAAGCCAGGGTTTGATTTCTAATTTCCGAAGTTCTGGGCCAGCAGATCAAGTGGAAGCAAAGTCAAGGAAAGACAGATGTGCAGCTGGGCGTCCACCCTCTTGTACCTCCCCCAAATCTACCAAGGCCAGTGGAGAAGGAAAAGTGACAGGTCCTCTTTGTCCCTACTAAAATCCATCAACCCTAACCCTCACTTAAAGAAACTTTCTTTATGCCAAGATCTACCAAGTATTTCTTTCATTGTTTCTAAAAAAGATTCTTAACGCCATCCCGTGAATCAGAGAGTCGTAGCCAACAGAGGTGACACATACATGGAGCTGTGTAACTATGAGACTACAGTGGGTGGCAAGGGCGGAGGAGATAAAAAAGCAAATACAATTTTACTTTCTGACACACCTCCCTCAAATCATTTTCTATTTATTGAGTCCTTTAACAATGCACACCTTAAAAAAAGAAAACACAAAAAGCCCCCTTTGGCTTCCTACGTTACCCAGAAGGTGCTATTAACGCAATCAGCTTTTGTACTGTGGATGAAAATTTGAGGTTGGCATTTGTGACAAAGTCACTTAAAAACTTCACAAGGTTTCCATTTAAGGTAGGAAAAATGGAGTAAAGACCTAGTTATTTTCTAGCATACAAACTCCAAAAGGTGAAATCATGGATCAGCAACCATGCATCAGCCTTATTTCCACAGTAAGACTGAGTAGGCCCCACGATGTCCATGGAAAATCCACTGGAGAGAAGAAACAAGCAGACAAGAGAAAGGAAAGACAAGAGGGAGTGGAAGCATCACTGGCAACAGCCGCCGGGTGGCACGCCACCAACTGCGCCAGCGCTCTGAGGTACTGGTCAGGCCCCTCCACCTCTGTATAGCCCTTGGGCAAAAGCATTCTCTAACCCCTCAAATTTTTAGAGAGCCCTGGTCTGAATCTCTTCCTTACTCTTATCCCACGGCCCTTACCATGTATACAAGTGCATGCTACATGGGCCCTCAGGAGATTATAAACTCCTGGAAGGCAGTGACCATGGAGCTTTTTGTCTCCAAATCTCCAGCATTTAGCTCCATTCTTTATACAAAAGTGGCGCTTAGTAAATAAATGGTTATTGAATTGTATTAACCTGAGTAATTGACTAAAAACCTTAGAAATCTCCCCTCTTGGCAGAAAGAATAGTTCACTTACATGATTGTCACTTTCATTGTCCTTGATAACCAAATACCTCAGCAAATTTAATGAAGCCATAATCCTGGAAAATTAAAATATGCGATCAACAGCAATTTCAACAAACTAGATGAAATTTCTACATTATACATTTAACAATTGCATAACAATTAGCAATTATGCTATTCAAAAGACATTTAGGCTAGGAATAGACTACTTATTTTCTTTATATAACTTCATCAAACAAAGTTGTGTTATTTTGTCAGTCTTTTCAGACATTAGAACATCATCTCGTTTCCCGAATTTTAAAAATTGTTTTATCGACACTATCCTTGTTCCAAAGGGACCCCTACCCTAAATCAGGAGCCCGTGGCTAAAAGAAGCTGAAGGCCCTGTGCTTTGGGACCCCCTGTGTGGTTTTTGACATGTGTGTTGTTCACACATAAAAATATGTACACACATACATATTTTCTTTACATCTGATGAATTCCAAGATAAAATACCAGTGTAGCTGACTGAATATAGACAAATTCACGTCTAATTTCTGTGAGTGCAAGAAAACAGACTGGAGGAACCATTCATACTCTCCACCTGATTTGTTGCTCCCATGTCAAAGCACATTTTAAGCCATTTTTGGAAGTGCGTCTGAAGCAGCAGAGGTGACCTGGCAGAATGGGCACAGAGTGGCCTTGGAAGCAGGAAGGCTCAGGTTGAGGTCGTGCCCGGGGCCCCTCCTGGTTGTGTGACTGTCCAGGCAACTCACTCAGACTCTAAACTTCAGAGGAGGTACTGATCCATACCAATGAGAGTGCTTCCATTCTATTACAGAAATCACAGGCCCAGGCCCCTGGAGCCCTCCTTCCCAAGCTCTGCTGAGAGTCTCTCCTCTTATTTCTCCCCCCTCCCCCAAATTAGAGGCCAGGCACTAGAGCTCCGTCTTCTCTTTTCCTCCTCATCTCACGGGAAGAGGGGGTCCTTCTTGCCAAGGCAGTCTCCTCAACGTGCACCCTGGGTCTTGTCCCCTCCTGTCTTTTTCGGCATCCTCATCTCTCCCTATGGCCCGGCTCCTTTCCTGTTGCCTACACCATGCCCATGTCTCTGCCATCCCTGAAAAACCCTCACTTGATACTAGCATCTGTGCTACTTTCCTCATTCTGTCTCTCCTTCCATTTTTATATAAACTTCTGGAGAAAGCCTTCTATACTGGGTCCCTCTACTTCCTCTCCTGTCTTCCACAACCTCGGCAATCTGGCTTCCAACCTCATCATTCAAGCAAAACTACTCTCTCCAAGGTTACCGATGATTTCTTGACAAATCTAACAGGCTTTTCTCAATCCTGATCCTTCTTGACCTCTCTACAGCCTTTGACACTGGTGATCACCCTCCTCTTTTGATTTTTTTGTGACACTATTTTCTCCTGGTTCTCTTTCTATGTGTCCAACTGCTCTTTCTCAGTCTTCTCTGCTGGATCTTCATCCAGGTCATGCCCACTAACCATGGATATCTCCCAAGAGTCCATCCTGACCCCTCTTCTCTGCTCTATACTATCTCGCTTGATGACCCCATCATCTTCCATGGATTCAATGATCATCCCTACCTATATGATTCCCGGATCTATTTATCTAGCTCTATCCTCTTTTGAGCTACAGTCTCTCATCACCAACTGCCCTTTGGCCACTGTGTGGGCACCTCTGATACAACATATTCAAACAACTAATTACCTTTCCCCTCACAATCTCCACTCTTCCTAATGTTGAGGACCCCAACATTATCTCAGTTACCTAGGCTTACAATGTAGGTGTTGCCTTCAACTCCTCACTCATGCCCACCCTACATATCCAATATATTTTCAAGCCTTGTTGTTTCTAATTTCACGTCTCTCATATAAGTCTCTGTCTCTCTGTCTCTGCCTCTCTCCTCATACAGCCAGAAACCTGGTGCAGGCCCTCATCACCTCACACCTGAACTACTGCAATACCCTTCTGGTTGGTTTCCCTGCCTCAAGTCTCTCCCCACTGCACCCCATCCTCCACTCAGCTCTCAAATTGATCCTCCTAAAGCGCAGATCTGACCAGTCATCCCCTTGGTCACTTTGGTGGCTTCCTATCACGGCCAGGATCAAAGACAACATTCTCTGTTTGGCCTCTAAAGCCCTTCTCCCTTTCCAGGCTTCTTGCTCCCATGTCCCCTCCATGCACTCTCTGAGCCAGAGACACCGACCTCCCTGCCGTTCCTGGCCCTCAGTGCCACCTCCTGACTCTGTGCCTTCTAGCTGGCCATCACTCATGCTTGGAATGCTGTCTCTCCTCATCTCCACCTCCTGCTTCTCCTTCTATTTACATTCCATATAACTTATATGTACATAGTTCTCTCCCTCATTAGATGGTGAGCTCCTTGAAGGCAGTAACTGCTTTTGCCTCTCTTTGTATTCTCAGCATAACTCCTGGTATGTTTGACTATCACCTCTGTCTCACTGAGGCCAACACGTTACTAATTTACTTTGTATAACACCAACACACTTCATTTCGAGGGTACGAAATAAATGAAATGCATTTATTCTTTAGAAAAAAGTTAGTTTCCTTTCTATCTCCTTTGATAGTGAATGTTAATAGTGCCTGACAGCAGAAGGATGTACCAGGTGGTTTCTAAAGATCCATTTCATGTTTTGACCTTTTTTTCATTTTAGGTTTTCTTGTAAACCTTTCCTCTCCAAGCTTTTAATCCTTAGGATCAATTTAATTAGAAAGATATGAAAAAATTAAATAGGGTAACAAAGATTATATAGTAAATCATAAGGGTGGGTATCCTGCCAATAAGATATCCTCACTGATTTAACATTTTGTGCTCCTGTTGGGGCTCTGGCCAATCATCTCTATAATATTAAGTGCGCCATAGAAAAACAAACATGTAAAGTTCAGGGGGTGGGGTACACTCTCCCAAGAGTTTCTGATTAAAGACTAGGGTAGGCGTGGGGAACCGTGGCCCTAAGGCCACATGTGGCCTTACTTGTTCTGTAAAATTCGGACTCAGTCAAGAGGCCGCACCACGATTTAGAAGGCCATGTGTCCCTAAGGCCGCAGGTTCCCTCCCCTGGTCTAGAGCCAAACACATACCTGGTCTACATATGGGGCCTCACGTGCAGTCACAAGCACAGATGAGTGGTTAGGCCATATAAGGTGCAGAGGAAATTGCATATGTCATAGAAGCAGAATAAAAGCACAGTTCCTTCTTATAGGAACAATATTATTTCAGATTATTCTTAAAATATAAATTGGTAAAAGCAACATCTTTTAGTCAGAAAGATCTCGGTAGAATTCAACCAAGCAATCCCCAAGACCCAAGCCATCGTAAGCAAGTTTTACTGGACTCCATTCCCTAAATCTGGAATTTACTTTTTCATCTTAAGCTACTCCGTGTTTGAATTCCTGATCTGGGTCACTCACCTATCGGAATTCTGGAGCAGGTCTGTCTCTGCTCCTTCAGGAAGCGTGAGCACCAAGTCAAGAAGTGAGATCAGCCGGGGTCCTGTAAACCACTTCCTGTCCTCTGTTCTCTAAAAAGCAACAGAAAAATGGGGACTGGGCAGAGAATTTAAGTAAAACCTTCAAACTTTGTATTTTTTTATACATCACTCAACACTCTAAAACAAGTAGTTTACAAGGATACCTCTGCTTTGAGTAGACATGACAAGTCAGATTTACAAAAATATGTCTTTATTAAGTTCCCCAGTACGATAAAATTTATGAAAATTCAATTCATTCACAATTTTCCAGTGACTTGTCTACTGCAGTCAGGAAAAACAGCATAAACAATTCGGAAAGAAGACCAGAATCACTGCTAGGCAACGACTTTGTTTCTCTCCCTAACCCTCATGTCCTGTCTGACTAGGCCCATCACTGGCATTACACAGTGCTAGGGAGCCCATTGTTTCTTTAAAGAAATAATGTCTTTTCATCCACGACACTTCTGGGCCACAATTGCTGCCTCCCCCTTGGAAAGGAGAGCCGATGTTAGCAAAGCACTTCACAAACCTCACAGCACTACGTAAAGACTATTATCATAATCATCACCATTATCAAACAGACTTGTATTATGGATGGATTCCAGGAGGCTACACAAGATATATTTTGTTAAATACAAAAATACATGACCCAGACAAGGTTCAGTGCTGGCAATTTTGAAGCCCCCATGCCATGCAAACAGCAGATAAAAGTTAAGTCTCTGAGGTCACAGAAGGAAGAAGAACAAGATACTTTCCAAATTCATGAAGGCTCCTTTATTTTTTTAATATCAGAGGCAAAGCTAGTAATCAAAATAAAAAGCAACCTATTAAATTAGAAAAAATAAGCAGGGCCCAAGCTCCTACTATGGTGATTTTTGCAAGTTAGCCATACCACCTGCAAAGTAAACTAAGCTGAAACCAACGACACTTGTGCTTGGCTGTGCTCTTACCTTTAATGAGGCATCCACCTGATTTTTAATATTTTGAATGACATAGCCTTCCACACCCGCATGGTTACTTGTCTTCAACAAACACCTTGAAAACAAAATCGAGACACATGCTATGTGGTCCTGGAATTTCTCCTGATTAGCTGATGATCAATACTGAACACATGCCCAGAGCTTTGTTTTGAGGAATAAGAAGTTTCAAGTGGCCTTGAAGAAGCAACGGTCACTAATCAGTTAAATGGCTAATTAATCAGTTAATCCTGCACCTGATGAGGGGAGCTGACATTCGGCCACACACCAAAATTCTGTATTAAACTGGAACCTGTTTGTCTTCCTATGCCAAGGAGGGGGGGTCCTGCTGCAGGGCCACGAATACCCACAAGCCCCAGGTCCTGAGTGAAGAAGAGCTCAGCTTCAAACATCCAGCCTAGCCCACCTCCTTGAGACTCCCCACAGCGGAGAGTGCTGCTCAAGATGATGAAAAATAATGTTTAAAACTCCCATGCTTACCAAGTGCTAAGTCTTTAACACTTTTAGGTAACACATTTTGATAATATTTATGTAGTGATCTGTGGACACCAACTACTTTCTACAGACATTCTCTCATGCGGGAGGCAGGGTAGAATAGTGGCGAGTGCCCTGAAGTTGGTGTCAGGAAGCCGTGGGTTCAAATCCCACTTCTAATTCTTGCATGACTTTGGATCAGTCGCTTTAACCTCTCACCCCCAGTTTCTTCATCTCTTAAATGGGGATGAATAAGGCCCAGAGTCCTAAGTTGTCATGACGTTTTTGTGAGACACAAATGAGCCAATGTGTGTAAAATCCCCTGTGGATGTGGCTCTGCTAGACAAACCCCAGCTGTCAGTAATACTGATGCTTGGGGTCCCAGGACCTTTGAAGGGGGTCTGTGGGTCAACACCATTTTTATAACACTAGAACGTGACTTGCCTATTAAAATTCTCTTCCCATTTCCAACTACCTATCTGTGTGAGGCTAGATTTTCTTCACGGAGGCATGAGAGGTTACCACAGTACCCACAGTTCTGCAACTGCAGTCAGGGAGGCCTGAGTTCAAATCTGACCTCAGACACTTGCTGGCTGCGCAATGCTGGGCAAGACCTCTGCCTGCCTCAGGTTCCGTAACAGCACCAACCTGACAGGGTTGTGTGAAGATCAAATGAGAGAATATCTGCAAAGCGCTAAGCACAGTGTCTAGCACACAGGAGGTGCTCTATAAATGCTCCTCCCCTTTCCTTCTCCTTCCCTCTATATACTTCAACCAAAACATCACAACAAACTGAATGCACAAGTAGATCTGAGAATTCAATTGTCTTCTATTAAGCCAGATGGTAAAGAAATTAGCAAAAATATGTAAAACACAGATTGCATGCTGTCTTGGGGAAGGGAAGGACGGAGGGAGGAAAAAACTTGGAACTCAAGATCTTATCAAAGTGAACACTGAAAACTATCTTTACGTACAATTGGAAAAAATAAAATGCTATTAAGTAGAAAAAATTTGTAAAACAATGCTACTCTCTCATCACCATTTTTTGTTTTGGAAATAGTTATTTTTCATTAAAAAGATTGTTTATATGAACACGTGTAATTGGTTTATCAGTGTCATTTTCAATGGATTAATGAATATTTTACAAATTGATCCCTTTTAATAACTAATACAGCAAGTATCAAGACACGACCCCCAAACAAAAGCTCTCGGAGGTCCTCAGCACCTCTGATGAATGGAAAAGGGTCCTGAAGGGGCAGCTGGGCGGCACAAGGGCCGGAGCTCCGGCCTTGCAGTCAGGGGGACCCGAGTTCCAACCCGGACTCAGACACCTGACACTTATTAGCTATGTGACCCTGGGCAAGTCACTTAACCCCGATCGCCTCACCAAAAAGCAAAAACAAACCAACGGGGTCCTGAGAACAAAATACTTGAGAACCGTGGGTTTCAAGTTTAACATTTAAACAGCTGATGATCCAGAAGCTAAGGGAGGCCACGAGACTTGCCCATGATGGCCCAACTCTGGAATCAGTCTTCTGACACCCAACTATTCCTCTACCACATCGTTTCAACAGTTATTCTTTACTCACACCGTCCTCTCTAGGATTCTGGGTGGCTTTGGGGGGTTTTGCCCCTCCAAAAAACTAAAAGGATCAGTAACTTCTGAGGGTCTTTATTCGCTTGCAAATGTGAATTATCATAACATGTTAAGTCCTTCCAGGAGCCTAGGGCATCATAGGAAAACTTAATTCTATTTATTTTAATTTAAATGCTTATTTCATATTGCCTCCTAATTCTCTGAAAATTAATAATCCATATTTCCTGTATATGTGCACATACAGAGCCTTATTTATGAGGTAAATCTCTCTTAACTGGAATGAATGAGGCCATGCTATCTCTATCTCTGACAGAGTATACTAATCAAAGACTTCTACAAACAGGTGACCTCCCTGGAGAATACAGTTTCACTGCCGTTCTCTGTCACATCATGCCAGCCACTCATTAGGTTGAGTCTTACCTAAATAATATATTTTTGCCTTGTGAATCCAGCTTGTCTATATACAGCTGCAGCACTTTTAAACCTTTTTTCCTCTTAAAAAAAAAGCAAATAACACAGTTAGATTAAAGAGAAAAGAATGCAACATTAATTAAATTTGGTCTCTGTAACTGAATGTTATTAATCATGGAATGTTTACATACCAAAGTCTCAGTGGGGCAGTAGGTCATTACTTTCACCAGCTTCTGCAAATAAAAATTTAAAAACATCAAGTGAATGTGAGAAGTGCATTGACTACATACAATCATATAATCAACAGCCAGTGCCCAGCACTAAATGTTAAGAAAGAAATGAAGACGAGAGAGCCACAAGTCAAGGCAGTTGTTTCTCACAGGCCCACTCCACTGGACAAGAGTGGAAAAAGCTGATAACAATAAGTGATATTTCCTATGATACAAGCCAAGGGAGAAAAATGCATAAAAGCAGGAATTACAGAGAAAACGTAAGCACTGACATGTTATATCCAGGGTGGCCAGAGAGCTCCGATTACAGAAATGAACAAAAGTAATGATGCAGATTTTAAAAGAAAATCACCTGGCTGGTACTTATTAGGCTTTGGCTCCTGGGGGATTGAGCGAGAGGCAGCCTGCCATGGTGGAGACAGCAGTGGACTTGAAGTCAGAAGAACCTGGGTTCAAATCCCACCTCTAACACTTAGGAGCTGTGTGACCATAAGCTAGCAGCTTAACCTCCTCATCTGTAACACCCAGGTAATATCTGTAGCAGTCACCTCACAGGGTTGCCGTCACCATACAATGGATCAAGCAGGAAAAGTCCTCTGAAGACTTTAAAATTCTATGTAAATGTTTTTACTATTCATCATTACTGTTATTATTGAATCTGCTTACATATGGGGTTAGAATTTATACCAGAATCCCCACAAAAAGTTCGTAAGCATTTAAAAAATTGCAATGAAAGAGTGAAACTCCGCCTTTAAAATATGTGTGTGCAAGTGTGTGTGCCTGAAACAAGCCCAGTTCATTCAGCCGACCACGAGGCCCAGATTCAAAGACCTTCATAAGGCAAACAGATACTATTTAGGTATCAATCAGACATAATGGATTGCTATCCACTTTCATGGCAGACAACTTTTGACAGCCACTAATGTGATAGAACATAGATGTAGGTAGAATAGAAAAACAGATATGACACATACATATGAACATATTTTCTATTTATTATATTCTGACTGTGTGACCCTGGGCAGGTCACTGAATGTCTGAGTGCCCTAGGGAGCAGCCCACGCACCATGGGCTGCATCTCAAGGATGAGCCAGAACAAGATTAAAATGTAATTGGGAAATGTTTAACAAATTAGTAAAAATGCAATCCAACATGGATAATGTTAATTTGTGGTTTTCTAAGTCAATATGCAGCTGGTAGGGATCCTTTCTATTTAAGTTTGATACTACCGCTCTAGGCAACAGTCTACACTACAAGCGGCAGAGCTGACCTTCGTGGAGGGAATTTCTCACACAGAATTCACTGCAGCAATGAAACACCAGGCCCTATCCCTACAGATCTTCTATTTCTATGAGAAATTTTAGTCAGCATTCACCTCCCGTGAATCAAGAATATAAACGTAACAATGACTTCCACTGTGACGCTTTGCCGTTAACAAAGCACTTTGGAGATAAACAGAAACTCTTACTTGAATTCAGGACTTCTGCTCCCCAAGTACAAGCCGGGGAAGGTGAGTCTGAGAGCCGTCAGTCTGAAACCAATCACAAGCTACTGCAATTCCAGGCTGCATTAGGGGAGCTTCCGTCCTTCTGTTCTCTGCCCGAGGACGTGGAATTCTGTTCTGGGAGTGACTATTTTAGGATGGAGACTGACATGTTGGAAACCATCCCAAGGGCAGCAGCTGGGACAGGGAAGGGCCTTGAGTCCATTCTATGACTGAATGAACTGGAAAGGCATGAGTGCTGTATCCAAGTATCTGAAGGGCCCCAGAAGGACAGACCCATAGGGAGAGGTACAAGCTGCAAAGATGCAGATTTCAGTCTGATGTAAAGAATCATATCCTAACAATCTGAGCTGGCCCAAAGTGGGATGGGCTGAAGTCCTGGGCTAGCAAAGGCTGAATGACCACGTGTCAGGTGAGGTTTCACCAGACGGCTGCTCGGGTCCCCTCCAACTCTGAAATTCTGAGGTGCTTCATTGGAGCATCTCAGCAGCCTCATGCAACACAAACATCACTATCTCCATTTGGCAGATGAGGAGACCGAGGAGGAGAGGAAAAACGGCTAGCTCAAGATCACCTGACAAGTACCTGGCAGAGGTAAAATTTGAACCTAGTCTTTCTCCTCCATCTGAGGCTCTTTCCATTGCTTTACAGGCCTATGTGGATAAAGCGACTGATTTCCCCAAGTCACCCAGAGGAAAGATGAAATCTTAGCAGTCTGCATTTCCGATTTGCCATGAACCAGCTCTCCCTAATAAAACATTATACAGGTGTGCTAAAAGTCACTTGTAAATGTAGTCTCCCATACAAATCAATTATTAAGCATAGTAGGGAATTTCATATAAAGGAGTTTCAAAAATTAATATTCTGTTTGCCATTTTTTCATTTAAATGTTGATAAGGAAGTTTCATATTCACTTCAAAAGGAGCTACAAGGGTAGTACTGTCAGCTGTGATGTTATTCAAATTAAGTTCCTGGAGTAAAATACTATATTCTTCCTTCTAGTAGCTAGCCTATGCAAGACCCATATGGAATCATGGTAGGAACTGGATATGAAGTATAATGGGAGGGGAGAGGGAAGAAGCATTTTATAGCACCTAGTACGTGCCAGGCACTGTGCTAAGTACTTTACAATTATTATCTCATTTAATCCTCACAATAACCCAAGGAAGTAGGTGCTATTATTGTCATCTCCAACTTACAGCTGAGGAAACTGAGGCAGACAGAGGTAAAGTGACTTGCCCAGGGTCACACAGCTGGTCAGCATCTGAGGCTGGATTTGAAGTCAGGTCTTCCTGACTTCACACCCAGCACTCTTTGTATTGAGGTACAAGAAGGGAAGGCATACAAGAGTTCTGCCCTCTAAGATTCTGAGTAGTAAAATTGTAGCCATGGGATGCAGGCAGTTAAGGAGAAGGCCCATCAGATGCCCCCCTGGACAAGGCAGCTGAGGAAATTGCAAAAATATTTGGAGGTCAAAAAGACAGAAAAGTTCTGTGACCTCCTCCCTGAAGCTGCGGCTGGTGCGCATGGAGCAGCTGGAGGGAGAGGCCTCCACCTGCCATTGCTTCCCACCTTCCACTTTACCTGAGGCACGGTGAGGAAACTCCTGATCTCTAAATAATGGTGGAGCAGGCTGCCATCTTCCATCCGTAACAAGCTGTTCTCCAGCAGATCCTGCAGAGGAAGCCATTGCACAAAACAGTCAGATAGAAAGGCAGCAGCTGTACAAGGGCACATATTCAAATTATAAAAAGGGAAGAAAGAAATATTACCAATCCTTTTGAGGACACAGATTCTTCTGCTCTGAAAGAGGATATTAAAGGTTTAACCAATGTGATTTTAGAAGTGGGAGAATCCAAGATGGCAATCTTAAACCTTTTGGGGAAGATGATCAGGAAAAATTCTTTGGGATAATTCTCTGGTGATCAAAGTTTATGGTCTGTCTTCTGACCTGAGTCCTTACACGTCAATCTGGACTTCAAGTCAGCTCAATTAAGTCTCATTGTCTGGCATGAAATGAGCTCATTCTCAAGCTGCTGGTAGCCCAAGCCTGCTGCTATTAAGAGGTCAGGCACATACAAAACTACATGGGGCAGATAATCACATTTTAAAACAAAATATACACCACATCAGTCACATTATTGTTTGGAAGGGTTGAAAGTCATTCTTACCTGAGTAGTTAAGATTTTACTGCTACCAGGTACAAAAAAAGTGTGACAGTAACACCAAGTCTAGTGGTCTCAGACATGTATACCAGGGATTCAGAAATAACACAAGGGCTCTGGATCCTTTTATTTTTATAAGCAAAAGATAAAGGGATTTATAAGCACGTAACAAAAAATAAGTAAACATAACACAAAATAAATGTGACATACCCAAATAGAGCAAATTAGAAGAATGAATAACTATTTACTTCTGAGATGTCATCCTACCTTTTCAAGAGGACTTTGATATGTTCCATATTGTACTGCAGAAGATATAATGGGCTAAAATAAGAAATATTTACAAACATTTTTAGAGATTACACATATAAGTTTTACCAGCACTGTGACAACCAATAAATTTTAAACAGATGATAACTAGTATCATTTATTACCACTAATAAAACCCTTCACAAAATCCTAATTCAATGCCTCATTATGGCACAGAGGTGACCTGACTTCTCAGGGACAATGCTAGCTGGGGTTAAGCTCTGGTAGGGTCTACCATGATGGAAAGGCTTTGAGTGGTTCCAGAAACAGACAAAGTCTGTTTCCTGAGGACCAGCCTAGCTAAGTAAACAAAGGTATATGGTGCATCACCACCTAATAATGAGTATTTTAGGTCACAAAAATCCATAAAACACAGAAAAATTAAAAATAGGCTCCAACCTCTGTAACCCCTTTTTGTTTCTGAAGTGACATTGGCAAAGGGCTAAGAAAGAGAGACAGAGGGTACTAAGAATCACAATTTTTGGACTATCAATAAACTTTAATTTGACTATTGGCACACTAGCATGTGATTCTTGTCCAGTGACCAAGAAGTGGATATATTTCTGAAAGAGCTGAATCATATCAATCTTTTTTTAAAATTTTTTTTTTGCTTGACTGTACATGTTTGTTTCAGGGATTTTTTTTGTGTGTGAGACAACTGGGGTTAAGTGACTTGCCCAGGGTCACACAGCTAGTAAGTGTCAAGTGTCTGAGGCCGGATTTGAACTCAGATCCTCCTGACTGTGCCACCTAGCTGCCCCTGAATCATATCAATCTTCATAAAAGGAGTTAGGTACAGCTAACCAGAATTATTATTCATGGTACCTCTTGGAGAGGCAAAGAAAGAAATGGCAGAATGGGTCTTATTATATATTCAAAGACAATAAGATACATCACATGATGGGATATTGGCTCATCACACATTGTAGTATTAACAATAAGCACTTGTAAAAAGAGAGCTATGAAAATAACTGCAGCTTATTAACGAACATCAGTTGCTGAGGATGAAGTGGTAGGGAAATTCTATGAAAAACTCAAGAAAATCATTCAAATTAAATTCATGTGCACTCTGACACTTGACATCACTGCAAAGGCGAAAGAAGGTGAAGATGGGAGAACTATGTAGGAAGGCATGATTCAGGAAGAAGAAATGGGAGAAGCCACATCGAACTTGAAGATGACACAGAAGGGTCTCATCTCTAGTGCATCTTGCTGCAACAAAAGAATCAGTAGGGCAGATGCTGGACATGGTGAACTCCCAATGACATCACAAAGAGTAAAACAGGTTTTGTAGGAACAGAAAGGAAGAGACCTGTTAATGCTGTATGTGGGAGTTTGCCCTGAGTCAGATGTTTCTGCACAGGGACAGAATCACAGCACTGAAGATGGGAAAAGGCTTCAGTGGACATCTATTCCAACCCACAGCTGAAATGAATCCTGCTGTACCATCCGTGACAAGGGGTCACTCAGCTTCTGCTTAAATCCTTTTAAAAGGAAGATCTATACCCCTTGTCCCCCTCCACCCCTTTCTTGACACGGCCCATTCAACTTCCAGATGGCTTGAGTTTCAAGGAAGTTTTTCCTGCAATTGGACCTACACTGGCCTTTTGCAGCTTCCATTTATCACTCTCAGTCCCATCCTCTGGGCCAAACAGAACCCATCTAACCTCCCTCCCCCCGCCATGGGATGGCTCTTCAGATACCTGAAGACCCCCCTCACATCTGACTCTTGTCTCCAAGCTTGTTACATCTAGTTCCGTCATCCTGTCCTCCTATGTCACAGGTTCTAGGCCCTTCATCATCCTGGTTTCTCTGCTCTAGATCCTTTCCATATTATCACTCTCCTCCTTCAACTGTGGAACTCAGAACTAAACACCAGGTCTCACAAGGGCAGATGCTCATGGGGCTCTCACTCCTCATTTCTCAAAGCTGGTCCCCTCTTCATGCTTCTGGCCGCTGCGGTACACCACAGCCTGACTATCAACTTGTCAAAGCTAAGATCAGAATTAGGAAAAAAGACATGATGTGAAATGGAAACTACTTAACCCCAAACTATTTAAATGATTGAAACTGAAAATAAGTCATTGAAAACAAGTCATTGAAAATATTTAAAATGACAGATAACAGAAAAGACACAGAAACGGATTATAAATAATCATTGTATTACGGAAGTTTAACCAAAGCAAATCAATTGTCACAAAACTAAGGAAGCAACTTAGTCAGCAAACATTTGACTTAATTGCAAAAGAGACTGAAACAAGACCACTGAAGGTGACTGTGGGTTAGACTATAGACCAAGTAAGATAATGGACAATTATGGGCAATATGGTCTCCAAACTGGAGAAAAGCAAGTGAAGACAAAATTTAAAGGCAGCTGGGCAAGACATCCAATTAAGCCAATTCATGAAAAGGATGAGAATGGGAGGACTCCAAGCAGAAGAAAAATAGATTTGCAATTATCATAACAAACTGTTTTTTCCATCAGGGACTGCAGAACCTAATACCAAGAGATGTGCTTGGAGAGAAGACAAAAGGCACTAAAGAAAATAATGGCTGGAAAAGCAGCCATGTTGGGGCAAGTGGAGAGAAGAGAACCATCTGGAGGTAATACAACTCGGAAGGTGCAGAGGAAACAATGTTTAAAGGAAGGAAAAATATCAGAGTCTGTAAAAGACTTCATTAACGTTCCTTCCTCCCCCAAAAAAAGAATGTTGGTAACTACCGACCGATATGCCTATTCTCTCATCTATACCAAACCTTCAGAGTGAGGGTGGTGGGGTCTTAGAGATCCTTCTGTTTGCGAAGGACGTTGTGCTAACTGCACTGAGCGCCAAAACACTGCAAGAGTTTGGTCTGACCATCCACCCAGGAAAGACCAGTACCGAAATGTACGCTGCCCAGAATTCAACATGCATTAGGATGGACATCAGTAGGTATAGCTGGAACAGACAGTCTATATGGACAATGACCTGGGCAGAAGGCAGAGTGTGAGCGGGATCACCTTTGAGTCAAGGCAAAGCTCCTTTACCTACCCTAAGCTCCCCATGAAGGTCCATCCTTTCAATACTAACATTCTACCAATGTTGATATATGGCAGCAAGACATGGAAGACAACTGACTCCAAAGAATTTAAAATCAGTATTTCACAGAGGGCAATGGAGGGGTGCAGGATAGGTGTGAGCTGCATCACACAACCAATGAGAACCCTAAGACTAGAAGTAAAAGAAATCAACCAAAGAATCCTATGGAAGGAAGAGAAGATGGGCTGGTCATATGGCAAGAAGGAGGGCCTGACAGGTAAGTGCTGACTGGTGTCCTCGCAGGATCAGGAGAAAGGCCTCCAGCATACGAAGAGCGCCTGTGGGTAACCTCACAGAATAACCTGCATAAATTGCCCGGGATTGGCGGGTATCCACATCACTGTTAGAGGGGACTCCCAAACTGATGAGATCACAGATGCATTTGAGTAATAGAAGTATCATTTGCTTAAGCTTTATTTTCAACTTTTTAGTACTTTGATAAATCCTACATACTAGGTATAGAAAAAAAAGATGGGCTCAGGGCACGTTGTAGTGTCAGCAACTGACCAGATGGAAGACTGTTACAAAAAGTCCTTACCTCAAGACCAGTGGAAGCTGGTCAATACTGATATGCTGCACAAACACAAGGTAAGCGAGCGAAGCCATGGACTCTGCCAACTGGCTACCTTGCTCTTCCTCCAAGTCAGGGTTATCCCAGTACTTTTCTTTTCTTCCATGCTGAAAAATGACCTTTGGCAAAGAGTCTCCAATTGCTAATATAAAGCCCTGTGGGGGAAGAGCGAGGGAAAACAAGAAGTTATGAGCTGCCCTGCTTTGGGCAAAGGAAGAGAGTCAGCTCCAGTAGCTATTGGAGAAATGACTCTCCCACCATCATTACAACATGCATCTGTTCCAGGCTTGTGGTCTGCTAATCCTAAAGTCCTCATCTCTTTCTTCCTTCTAATCAGGCAGTTTGTAGAATCCCCCAGCAACAAAATCACTTGTTTCTTTAGCCATTCATCTTCAAGTCTCTACCAATGTTTCCCTCATTTGCTTCCTGAATTTCCTCCCCTGAGTGTACATTCTGAATATATGGTGCTGCTCTATGCACAATCCCCTTTTTTAAACTACTCTATTTCTTTTGAACAAGGAATACCCACCCAGAGCCATATCCCAGTCATGGGTTTCATCCCAAGTCTCAGGGACATTTACGGAGTGATGTTAGGAGAAGCTAGGTGGCGCCATAGTGCATAAAGCACTGTGCTTGGAATCACAGAGACTCATTTTCCTGAGTTCAAATCCGGGCTGTGTGACCCTGGACAAGTCACTTCACCTTGTTAGCCTCAGTTCCTCATCTGTAAAATGAGCTAGAGGAGGAAATGGCAAACCACTCCAGTATCTTGGCCAAGAAAATCCCAAATGAGGTCATAAGAATCAAACACAACCGAACAAACTGGAATAAAATGTTAGGATCTCTAACATCAAGGAAGCGCAGATTCTTGTTTGTTGCCTAAACTTTGGGTACAGACCTTTCAGGCTGGCGGTTTTTCTCCTGGGTCCTTTCTTGAATTTGACCCCCCGTAAACCTTTGGATGACTCCACAGCTGCTCTTTTTCCTTCACTGGAACTATTCTCTAGGGTATCTAGCTTAGTGGATTATACACAGGCATTTTCTTCCTCCTCCATTCTTTTTAGTTTAAAGCCCTTTTATTAGATTTGCAAGACAGCTGGCAAATACATTCGTATCCACCTTTGTTGGGTCTACTCTATCCTTGGCCTGCTATTCTTGAATTTTAACCCAGGGGTCAGGAGTCCACATCAAGCCAGCTGCCCATTTTCTAAATCCATTTTTCTCTTCCGTATACCTTGTGACTTCTTTCTTGGGTAATGAAGTTTATGACAAGATGTGACAGTGAGAGCATTTTTTTCCATTAATACATGAATTACTATACTTTAGGATCTTTCTATCTAGTGATATGAAACCAATCCAAGGGTCACCATATTTGGAAAACACAAGCTCCCATAAGCAAATGAAAACAAAATAATGAAAAATTAACTGAGCCTCAAAACTCAACCATTTCACATGCTAACACTTGACCAGATTTTGGCAACGCCCGTTCACCTAACCCAGATGTCTTTATTCATTACTTTAGATCACATAAATAGATGATGGAAAAGTATTTCAATCACAAGGTATTGATTATCAGAATTAGTTACAGAATGCATACTTGTAACTTAGATTTTGTGTAAATAAGACAGTGATTTTCAAAACCATGCCTAGCTACTGAGATTAAAACATTTTAGCAGAAATAAAGAAAGTGACCAGACCAGCAGAGTGGACTTTTGAACTGTCCTCGAATTCTGCAATTTTACTCCTTGATACCCAAAGTAAATGGTTTTTCCCATAAAGCAAGAAAGTATTTGTTTTGTAAAAGGCAAGTAAATCTCATTGTACTTACTACTATTTCAGATGCAAAAGATTTTAAAGGATCTTCTTCATTTTCTTCAAGCTCCTCAATAAACTGTGCTGTCAGCAAAGGATATTTCAAACTTTTGAAACAACTAAGGAAAAAAAAAAGGGGGGAGGGGGCAACTTGAACATAAAACTTCCCAAGTAGCAATCTCTGCTTATTCTATACATGTATCTGAACTAACTGCATATTTTAAAAATCTAGTAACCCACATGGCTGTTATATGACTATGTTTTTATCAGAAGGAGTGGGAACAGAATGACAATCTTTTATTGAATTCAACCTGGGTGTGTTCTCTGTGCTCATTTATTTTATTTTCTAAACTTTTTAAATTGATGTCTTTTGTTTTCCAAATGTATCTCCCCATCTCACCAAGTGTGCCTTCTCCTACAATAAAAATAAAAAAAGGAAAAAACCCTCCAAAACCCAGAAAAATTCTCACTCTCTCAGATCAAGTACACCCAGGGTGGGGAACCCGTGGCCTTGAGGCGACATGTGGCCCTCTAGGTCCTCACGTGTGGCTCTTTGACTGAACCCAAACTTCAAAGAATAAATCGCCTTCATAAAAGGATTTGTTCTGCAAAACTTGCACTCGGTCTAAAGGCTGCACAGGGACCTAGAAGGCCACGTGTGGCCTCCAGGCTGCAGGTTCCCCGTCCCTTGTCTAGGCTATGTTTCACATTCACGGGTCCCCACTGGGAAGGTTCCTTTGTAAGTCTGGTCTATGGATCTCTGGATCATCCCTTGGGTGAGCACCCTGGGATGTTTCCTCACTGTCTTATTTTCAGGCTTGATGATTAAAAGCCTAGTATTGCCTTCAAAGAAGATGAGCTTTTGGCACTATAGCCAGCCCCAGAGCTCACCTTCATGGAGGAAACAAATGGGCATGTGGTGTCATGGAAAGAGCCAAATCACCCAGGTCTGAGTCCTGATTCTGATACTCACTAGCTGTGTGACCCTGGGCAATTCTCTTTACCTCTCTGCGCCCCAGTGCCCCGTCTATAAAAGGAGCTGCACCATCAACACCAAAGTGGTATTGTCGTCATAAAAAAAGACTTTGTAAATGTTACATCGTCGTATAGGAATTCAACACTATTGCTAACAGCAAACACGGTTGATCTGAGCTGGCAGTTTTGAATTTGCTACAGCTGCTTTATGTAGGTAGCTGGCCCGACACCACCGAGCCCAGACTCATTGCTGCTCTGATGCTTAGCTATGCACACACCTGTCTCTGCGTACATTCTACGGACACGCACACGCCACAGAA